ACCAGAAGGAAACATCGGTGGAAGTTCAGTATAAATTGAAACTCCAAGATGTACCAATCCCAGGAGGACACAGTCTAGAAGCTGTGATCAAAGATGTGCCAATCCAATATTACATTTCATGGACTTCCTTCTCAATATTGTGCTTGATTACTTTAATTACTTGTAGTCTTTGCATTTACAAGCGAAAGCGAATCCACGCTTTGTTCCTGAAGCCACGTCCAACCAAGGAGTCCCTAGCTTCAGTTTTAAGGAGAGAGGAATTAAGGAACTTGGACCTTGATACCCGATTGAATAGCCATTTAGATAACAACCCCCTATAAATGCCGCTACCCAGCAGACAGACTTTAGACTTAATTTTCATTTATAAGCAGATTGTTGCTGCTCCTATATTATAAACACTCACTCTGTAAATTGTATTAATTAAAAATTGTTTTAAAAAAGTTGATTTCAATACCAACTTATTTAATTTTAATATATTAATTAGATAATGAAAAGATAATTTTATCTTCCCGTTTCATTGCCGGACATATGTGAATATCCTAATTTCGGTAACTCCAGGCTTTTGACCATATTTTACAAGTGGAAATCCGAATGTAGATATTTGAACACCATTATCAAGATCGACACGATGCGATGGCATGAAATCTTGATGAACTTTTTATAATCTAAATGTGGAAGTAACTAAAGGGGCAAGTGGTTGTCCTTATGCCTTTACAAAGGCGTTATATGCTATTCCTCATGCTAAGCTTTCATCTGAATCCGAAGACGTGGCACCGCCAAGTGCTTAACTTGTTTCCTTGCACATTTTTCTAATTATTTTGAAACATACACTTTGGCAATTGCCCCCTTTGTTATTTCCACTCTTCAATCACAAAATCGTTGTAAAAAGTATATAAAATATTCGATGACAAGCGGCAGCACAATGATTGATTATGCATTTTTTTCAAATAGGTAAAAGCACCAATTCCAAAGAGTAATTAGCAATAATTAGTTTTTGACAATACTACAAAAATAAATAAGTAAATAACATTCAAAGTAAGGTTATGGTAATGCCGTAGTTGGCATTCTTTGTACTAAACGTCAGACGGCCAGCCAATCACAGGGTCTTATTTTCGGCCTATTCTGTAATGCTGAGGGAAATACAATACGCTTCCCGTTGGTAGCCATTCTGCACATATAACTGTTTATTGAATCTCCCATGTCCTACTGACTCATTTTCCCTAATAAAAATGGTATCAAAATATGAGACATACTTAATGCGCACATAATTTTATAGAATTATCTTTTATTGAACCAGCTGCTGTAAATGCACAAAAAAACAAAAAAATAGCGTATTACAAAAACATGGTAAGGTTTTTTTGTTCGTTTTCAATATAAAATAGACATTCTACCGATAAGTGGATTGGTTTGATTGGCCACATTTTTTGGAAAATGCAACATTGAATATTTCCAGTCGAAACCACATACAGCTTCATTTAAATGTCGCTTTGCTGGTGAGTTATTCGGGTTTGCAAACAGTGGTGAAAAATGTTTCTTTTCTGACATTTTGCAAGCACAAGTGGCTTGCATCCTCAGAGGTGTTTAGCCCGAAAGTTGTCGTTCAGGGCGCTATTCTCCGCGCGTATTTGCAGACGATTTATCGAGACGCCGGGGAAAACCGATTTGCAAAACCCCAAAAATTTCAAAAGGACGGGGAATTACCGATTCCAGGTTGTTCTTTTGCGTAATTTTTAAAAAGAACTGTTATTTTTTCTCGCGGACTAGTGGTGAATACCCTTTCCGCGAGTATAAAGGGAGTCGAATTCATAACCTTTTCGCGACCCCTTCTGTGACGGGAGAAGCGCACCTGAGAAAAACAGACTCCGCTTGATTCCAGACGTTCTGGATTGAAGGTTCTGAACTAAAATTTAACTCTTCGTCGTTCGTGTGCCGGACGTTTTTTTTTGCCAGACCACCGGTAACAAACCAGAAATAACTACCGTCGAAGTGCCTAATTTTGTCATCAAAGGGAATATACAGAAACAAAGCCACCTTCAACCCAGAAACATTCAAACTTCTTTTGCAAAAACTAAAAAAGGCCCGGCCCTAAGAAATCCCTCTCGCCAATTTTTTCTACCTTCCAGTAAGAACGGGACTTGTAGCAAGAATTTGAAAAAGTGCTGGAGCTTTCGACTTCCCCTGGCCGATATATTTTTTTGGCAAGAAGTCTAAGCCATGACTGAACCAACCGACCTCCGTTCAGGGCTTTGCTGAATATGGGAAGCTCGGCCTCCCCACCGGCCAGTGTTGGCTCATACTTCTTTTGCGGACTTGGGTCACTCAGCTAAAGACATCGATGAACAATTTAGAGTGTTTGGGATTTAAAGAAACCACGCTGCGCGTTAAAGTTTACATTGGATTGATGTAAGCACAAGGCATCAGTCCAGTATAAGCTTCCAACAAAACGACTTTGAGGATGCAATCCACTCGTGCCTACGAATCGCCAAGAATAATTTCTGTTCTACTACGGCCTAACAGCCTGAAAGTTCCACCAGTTTCAAAAGGCAGAAGCCGCGAAAGCCTAACGTTTTTCATATTACAAACCTTGTTTAATTCTCGAAGCATAAGAGAACTTTGGTACTGATCATGCGGTTTACTAAAGTGGATGGCATCGATAACACATATGGTTGTTTTTCTTCGCCCGTAGACATCAAATGGAGTTTTATCTACATAATCACCTGCCCATGCAAACGAATCTCCATATCCACTATAGTTATTGTATCTTTCAACTCCTGAAACATTCATAATAAACAATCAAATTCTTATAAGTTCCAGCAATGTTATACAAAAAAGTAAAAGGGTTTAGCCATATTTACATCTGTCTTGGACCATGAGAAAATGATCTTATGTTAGCGAACCTTAATATAGGAAATATATCTGAATCCGATCCATAATCTCGAAACATTTGTTTTGAGGGAACTGTAGACTTTACTACGATAATTGCTATACAACCAGAACGAATTACATAACAAAAAACTAAGAAACGTGAGACTTCAACAAAGAACAAAGGCTTGCTTGAACCAAGTGAAATCGTCGATGAAAACTTCGATGTTACTCTCGTAATTTTTCCTAAGATGTAAATATCTAAGATATTTAATTTCGAATAACATTTATGAGTTTTTGTTGAACTATAAAATTGCATTCTTATTTGCTTCAATATTAATCTCATTTTCACCCTTCACATAATTGGGTAATTAGTTATATTTTAAACAAATTGACTAACTAACACCTGACATAACTGTATGGTGCATTTTTAGCGTCGGCTTTTGCGCTCTGCGTAATGATACGAACCATTTTGCCTTACCAGTAATAATTACAGCTTCACTGTTTCTTAACTGCTCAACAAAAAGCCTGCTAACAATTAATTCAGGACATATAACAAATCTTATTTCTTCTTGAACACAGCCATATCTTAAGACACCACCGCCAATGTTTCTAAAATTAAAAGTGATATTCTATAAAATCTGAAAAAAGTCAACTATTTCAATATATATATTTATTATTAAGCTATTTACTTATTCGCAAAATCAACTTGTAGGAATCCCAAACCGTTATCCTCTATGTTTCCAGTACTAGCAATGTGAATTTTTGTGTTTCCTAAATTATTATCCAAAGTATCCCATCGGGGCATATTGCTTCTTGGAATAATTTTGCGCTCAAAAGTCACTACGCCAACAGGAGCTGAAAATGTAAGAATATATCATAATATTTTCTAAGTGTTCCCAACAGACGAATATATAGGGTGTTATTTAAATACGTAGCGAAACTGCAGAAGGTGATTCTCTGAGAGAACCGAGTCATAAAAAATTAGATTTCTTAGTGAATAGCTTAGTAATAACTTTGTCTATTTTACTAAAATGTTACAATGCGCCAGTTTTGCCTTAGAAAAATTTAAATAATTAAGCTCCCTTTAGCCAAAAAAAATTAGGCCAAAAAAATTGCCACCACGAGCTGGCGCTTTAAAATTTTGTCTAGTTTTTTTACTCTAAACGTGCAAATTCTCTTATTGTTTAATCGACCGTATCTCTTCTTGAAGTAATTGAGAAATTTAATTATTTAGTATTACTTATTACAAACAAGGGCGGTTGTGACGAATAAATCAAACGCAGACTGGCCATGACACGTAACTCAACACTGAAAGTAACTCGAGTTTGGAAAGACCAATATCTCAACGCAACAAAGTGAACTTATTAAACTCCTTGATGTTTCCTAATGCGACATATGCCCCTGAGACCTGGACTTTGAAAATGGCCAATCGAAGGATGATAGATGCTTTTGAAATGTGGGCCTACAGAAGAATGGTGCAAATCTCATACACAGAACATCGTACTAACGTGACAATTCTTAAGAAACTAAAAATCACCACAAGGCCATCAACCAGGATAAACCAACCATATCGACGGTATTTTGGACACATTTCAAGAAAAACGAGTGGGATGAAAAAAACTTATTATAGAGGGAAAGCTGACTGGTAAACGACCGAGAGGAAGGTCTCCGACGCGCTGGGTGGATCAAACCAAGGAAATCATTGGACACGGTCTGCAGCTTCCTGCAGACTTCTCTTGCAGGTCAAGATAGAGAATGATAGAGAACCACGATCTGAGCAATTGAGACATGATTGAGAGTATGGTGACATCATTCGGGTTTACACTAACAAGTTTACACCGACAAGTTTACACCGACACGATAGTAACATTCTACTAGTGATGAAAAGTCATCATTTATCGATAATCATAACCCTCAGTGAAACTGTCATCAAAAAACCTGTAAAACCAACTCTCAATAATAAAACTACAGACTGGAAAAGTTTTAAGATGCAAATGGATCAAGAAATTAATCTAGATATTGATCTTACCACAAATGACCAGCTCGATTATGCAGTGGTTAATTTTACTGAATTAATATCTACAACAAACGGTTTGCATCAACATCAAAACAGTCACCCATAAACCCCCCAGATTTAAATATCCGGTGGAAGTGAGGAATCTGGTAAGAATAAAAGAAAACTTAGACGAAATTGGCAAGCAACCAGAACTACTCCAAATCTCAAAAAATTAAAAGACTGATCCAGCAACTAAAGGAAAATTCGGCAAACTTGTTCTTGGAAAATCTAACAGCGGATAAAAGTACAAACTACTCTCTGTGGAAAACTACGAAAAAACTCTGAAGGAAAATCACTCATGTACCACCAATCCTGAAAGAAGACACATATCTTCACTCCAAATGAACCGGCAATGAGCTCAAATGAGAGCCCTCCACAAATAGAAAATAATTGGCACAAAACAATCAAAAAAGTTACCTTAAATAAGCTCAAACGAGAGCTGGAGCTGAAATACAACCTCAACCCGAAAAAGCTCACCAGGATACAATCTCATTACTGGACTAGTGTTAAAGAAGTTACCTACGAAAGGACTAAAAATGTTTCGACTGTTGGTCAACGCAACATTTAGACTGATGCGAGTCCCGGCTCATTGGAAAATCGCAAATATGCTTATGATTTTAAACCTTGGAAAAAAAGATACAGAAATGAAATCTTACAGACCGATTTCCTTGCTACCTGTCATGTCAAAACTGTTTGAAATTTTTTTTATTAGCATCAGGAGTCTACAGAGTTCCATGCAGTTGTGGCAGAGCATATATCCGCACCACAAAACGTAGTGTAAACACTAGGATCACTGAGCATAAAAGAAGTTTCAGATTAGGACAAACAGAAAAATCAGCAGAAGCGGAGCACGCACGTCTAGACGGCCACCAAATAAAGCACGGGAGATCACTTCGCCCACTGCCTCATCGCCTTTGATAATGTCCACGGCAGTTGTGAACGAAACGTCAGGAAGAAATTCCCATGGGCCACGGCTTCAAAGCCCGAAAAAAATTCTAAATGTATTTGAAAAAATATTCCACAAACGATTGAAACCAATTATTGAAGAAAATAATCTACTACCGAATCACCAGTTTGGATTTAGGCAGAGACACTCACATCAACAATAAAGCAGGTTCATCCTCTGGTCGACATAATAGAAAAAGCTCTGGAAGGAAAAGAGGTGTGTTTATTGATGTTTCTGGATGTATCGCAAGCATTCAATAAAGTCTCGCATGAAGGCTTACTCTACAAACTTAGACGCAGCGTCTAAAAGACGCTAGCGATTGTGGCCCGGATCGAACTTACAGGACTGAACGGGATCAAGTAGACGGGCGACAAAATTGTGGTAGCACCAGACGAATTTGTTTACTTAATTTGGCTTGTACCGAAACGGCATGATGGCACTTCTCACGCGCCAAATATATGGTTCGGGCGCAGGCACCAAAGTCGCCGGGTCTTGGCGACTAAATTGTCGAGCGTCAAAAGTCGCCCGTCTGCGGGTGCCCTTAAGACTCCAAAAATATTCGATCTGAACCTCAAGGAAGCGTACCGGGCCCAATTCTATATCCTCGGTTCACTAGTGAGCTACCGCAGAGAACAAACGCCGTAGCGGCAACATTCGCGGCGGATTACACAGCTGACGCAGCCATGGCTTAAACTGATGTAGAATCTACGTTGTTTCTACAAAGACTCAATGACTCAGTTTAAAATTGGACGAAGAGATGGTGGATAAAACTTAGCGATCAGAAAGCAGTATATGTGAACTACACCAACAAAAGAATTTTGAATCCAAAGAGCTTAACAATAAATGTAAATATAATCCTTTACGAAAACACAGCAAAATATATTGACATGAACCTTGACGCTAAAGCTAAATGGGTCGAGCACACCAAAATCAAACTTGCAGAACTGCAAATCCGCTTCAAACCCCTCTACTGGATACATGGTCGAAAACCCGAAAACCATGGACTTCCATCTACAACAAACAAGCTTTTAGTTTACAACTAAATTCTTAAACCTATTTGGATGTATGGCATTCAACTGTGGGGATGTCATATTTTGAAAATACAACGATTCCAGAGCAAAGTACTACGAACTATTGCAAACGCTCCTTGGTACGTACCTTGGTGTACCTTTGTTTGAAGAGGTCATAAAACAGATTGCAACGAAACAACAAAATCGTCTCTCACAGCACGAAAATTCAGAAGCACTGCATGACTTGACAACAACCAATTTCAAGAAGCTTCAAAAGGACCAAACCCTTTGAACTCGTGGCATGTCAGGGCTAACACCCCTCGGTTGACTCATCAACACCAAGATGAAGTGCAAAGTAAATCAATGGAACCTTTGTAAAATAAATTTGTAAAAAATTATCAGATATAAATTAATGGTTGGTCAGTAATTACCAGTTTTAATAAAACTACTTTAAAAAAGTTTCACCACTGTGAAAAAACAAAATCAGCTTAATTGCAGACACCATATATGTTGATGGTTTGTGCAAATTGCTACAAAAGTAATTAGGTTAGCAATAAATACCATTATGTTCAGTTCATGTTGCAATTTCAACTAATGTGTCGTCTATTAGTATGGAATAGCCTGGTAGTAATCACCGATTACAATAATAAATAATCCAATTGGTTCGCTTGTGAGAAGTTACTTTTAACGAAAAGCATTAAAAAAGACATCTCTCGATATAACTGAAAATTCTAGCTGCAAAAATTGAAAATATCTCAGGAAGATGGACGTTTTGCTTCACACAAAATTTTAATTATTAGCCTTCTAAAATTAAGATTCATCAAGAATGTGTAGTTTGTTTCATTTTTACTGTAGTGTTATTGCTTTGTTTCAAACTGTGGTGGACTGCCAATGTTTCGAAACGAACAAGGACTTAATGTTTGATATTAGCGGCGATATCAAGGGAAATTTTGTTAAAGAAGGTGCAGATACGCACTGTATTTGCCTGCCATATTGGGAGTGCAAAGACGTTAATCAAGCAACATATAAAGAAGATTTTGGCTTATCCGAAGTACGAAGTAATGAAAACAACCAAAATATTTTGTCTGCCAAATGCTCAGGATATCTAGATGTTTGTTGCAAAGTAAAATGTGGAATACAATACAGCATGGCGGGACACACAACAAACATGCATAAGCGAATACTTGGAGACGCAGATATTGCCGAGTTTGGCGAATTTCCTTGGATGCTCGGAATCCTTGATGGAACAGTATACAAGTGTGGAGGTTCGTTAATTCATCCTAAGGTCAGTAGCCACATATAAAATAGGCCACGTAGTTTTTATTTACTTCCTTGCACATTGGAAACACAAGTAGAAATAGTCTATAATAATATAAGTAAATACATTTGGTATTTCCTCTATTTAAATAAATTATACAGAGATATAGTTTAGGTTGGAACTAATTTATTTCAACATCTCGGACCTATTCCATGGAAAAATCGTCAATTTTAATTTTTATTGCGGTTTTATGATGATAAGTGCAGTTTACTATTGCCGAAGTTTAGACCAACCAATTTCAATTTGTTTAAACTAGAACTTATTTTACATTTACTTTTTTTTTCTAATTCAGATTTTATGTAGTATGTTAAAATATGCTTTTGAAGTTGAAATTATTTCAACAGCTATGGCTGTTATACTGCTGATACAATATGGGCTGCTTTCCGTAACAAAAAATACAGTCACGATAATTAGGAAAAATTCAGGTCCTGCTAAAGCGGTGCTGCTCTATACAAGGTGATTTTTTCTTGATAACTAGTACAGCAGATGTACAGAAACTACAGCAGATACAACGAATGTTAAATGGACTTTTTATTTTATTTTTCTAAAATTTGACAGCTGACAGGAGATATGTGAAAAAAACTTATTTATGACAGATTTTTAAATGACTCCTAGTTTCATCAATTATAAACTGACAGGAAAACATTAAATACAAAAGTTATCGCAAATTCCATTGGCAAATGGCATGAGACATTACAATCTACAAATTAAGATGTTATTTTTGACATTTGACACAAAATTGAGTTTTTTTAAATGGAAACCATATTTAATTATTCCTTTATTAAATAGAGCATTTATCACCATTTCTGTGATATATCACACCGGTAGGTTCTTTCGAAAATGACGTGTCTGCGAATGATTTTTACTTTCTCAATTTAGCTGAAGTTAGCAATGGAAAATAGTATAAGGCAGGCAGCAGTGTTTCCATAATAACAACAAATAATAACAATATGCTTCGATATTTATTTTTATTAAGTTTATGTCATATGTAAAAAATGAGAATTAATTTCTAAAAATGTTTTGTCATTTTATTTGAAATGCAATTTCCAAAAAATTTCTATTTAAAGTTTTCCTGTCAGATTAATACTGACTGAACTAGGAGTTACTTCAAAATGTGTCATAAATTAGTTTTCTTCAAATATCTCTTGATACCTGTCATATTTTGAAAGAAGAAAATTAGTTTCGAGTAGACCATTCAAAACTGCAATTCTTTGTCCCTTTCACCTTTTTTTGAATCTGCTTTAGTTTCCAAGATCCCTGTCTAGTCATCGAAAAAAACTTACACTGTATATGTAAAACACAATTTTAAAAAGTGGAACTTCCGGTTATACAGGAACACAACGTTAAGTATTTTTTAAATGGAACGCTCTATAGATTACTATAAATTTAAGTTCTTTCAAAGAGTTTGCAAACACTTTTAGGAACGAGTTTTATCTCTATCTCGAACGGTTTTGGAAATTGTATTTGCATTTTATTATAATAAATGACAAATGCAGTCCTGAATGTTATTACCGATACTGCACAAAAGACAAGATATTCTGCAATGGAAATTTACAGAATCGTAATAAAGTATTAAGTTTACTTAAGCAATCATGTATATCAGGTCTAATTTATTAGATTGTTCCTAAAAAATGTCGAACTCGCTATATAAAATCTTAGAAAAACTAACGTTTATCAAGTTGTTACCATCGATTTTTCTCACAGAAGCGTGTTCCGCTTCAAAAATAGGTGTCACATTCAATTCACATGCTTATACAGCTGAAATGATACACTAAGCACTAGAAAGTGTGTTTTTTTAAAAATGAAATAAACTCCATTCATTTCACTGTCAGTAATTTTTTTAGGAAAAACAGCCTTTTGTATGTAGAAATTTTCTGTATAACTGTCAATATCGGGCCGAGTTCTAAATTTTGAAATTTGTTGAAAAACGCACGCTTTTTTATCAAAAATGCATCTCCGAAAATTTCAATCGGTTGAGAAACTTGGAAGTTATGATGATTTTAAGGTCGAAAAGACGATTTGCCGAACAAAATACTTTGTTCTCGGCACATTCACTGTTGTAAAACTCTCAAACTTGCACACACTTCCACTCTTTACTCTGTAACTCGGTCAGTTATCAACATTTTGCAGAAATTCAAAAACTTGAAAAAAACCCATAGACTTGGCGTAAAAAGCGGTTCAGGGTAAAGTTCATTTTGGTCACCGTTTCAGCACCAGGGGAGTTCAATTTTTCAAAGATCTGAAGCGCTAGTTGTTCCTGGAAACACACTCTTTTGTTACAAGTTTGGGGGCGCATCAATATTTTTTAACCTCAAAATGTATTTATAGGAGCAACTCAATGGTTTAAAAAAAATTGTGCAATTACATTTTTTTTTGTAAATTCTCGAAGTTTTTCAAAATTGAAAATGTGTACATTTTTCACTTAAGAGTCGAATTTAGATCAAAATGCCATTCAATAACACCGTTTTCATATATAATGTTGGAGAAAAAAAAATTGGATTTATAGGCTTATTTGCCGAGAATCCCGCAACTGTTATAATATTTCAAAAAGAAAAAAATGCTCTGGATTGCCACGCGTATTCGCTAGAGTTCGATTGACTTGACAAAAATCGACATTGGCAACGGTTTAGGGGATAATGAACGCTGAATGTTGGCAACCGTTCGACTGTTCCATTTGCGCATACCTGCTTTCTTTTGCTCGTAACGTCGTTAAACGTCAAGATATTTCAAAAGTTCCAAAACGACCAAAAAGCCCGAAGAAGTAGCTATAAAAACTATTCCCCTCATAAGAGATAGCGGCCATAACAAGGGAGTAAAACCAGTTGGAACTCGGAGTGTGCAACCAAAAAAATTGACATTTATCAATCGATTTTTTAAGCAAAAGATTCTCAGCCAAAAATTTTCCAGTGCATTTAAGGCCGAGTACTTTAATTTTTGGAAAAATATAATGTTTGCCTACAGATGCTTCTTTTTAATTGTGGTTTTGCTCTAAGTGTCTTTCTTTATGTGTTCATAATAACTAATATTAAATTGCAGCTAAATTTGCCGAAAGGGGATCATCGCTAAATTCAGTAGAATGATTTCGTTTGATAGAATGAACCGTTAGCTCTAAAGTGCCTTTCTTTCATCAATCAGTCATAGCGTGGTGACAGTATTCCAATTATAATTAAAATATTTACTTATTTAATACTGTTGATAACAAACGGTTAGAATTAAGGACAAAATCCCTGACTTGAAGTGACCCCTGACTTGAAGTGAAGCTGAAACATTTTTAACTAAATACTTTTTTCCGAATACTAGAAACATCCTCAGAATCACTTAGAAACCTTTCAAGTTTTCACAAAAAATATTATTTAGAGTTTTATTGCTAAACATAAATGTGGAACACTAAAACTGTTAAAAATTGCGAGTATTTCAAAATAGAGCACATTTTCAAAGTCAAACAAACCACCGCTCAGGAAAGTGTTCCATATAACTGCTGTGTGCGATACAATATACAATTTCCAAGCAAATATTAGGACTTTTAATACTTGAAAACAGTTGCGTTTGTAAAATTCGACTTAATAAGTTGATAAATAATTGTCACAAACAAATAAGTTAGAAACATATTTATGTAGAAGACTCAGTTCCGCCCCCACTAATTAACGAATTCGAAATTTCATAATTTGGCAGCAAACTGTTTAGAAAATATTGCCAAAATAATATTTAGATTTCTTCCCTCAAGCTATTCCAGTCCTAGAAGCAAATCTTGAGGTATTTTTTATTAGAACTTGATTAATTCCGGTTTATTTAAGGGGACACTATTGCACACGTTTATATCGTTATCAGAACCTTCTGTTTTAGGTGGCACTGACGGCGGCACATTGCGTAACAGCTCCAGTCAAATATACAGTAAGAGCAGGTGAATGGCATTGGAAGCATATGGATGAACCTTTGCTCCATCAAGACCGAACAGTGGCATTTATAAACATCCATCCCCAATTTGATTCTTCAAGTTTAAGAAATGACATCGCTCTTTTGGTTCTAAAAAGTCCGTTCAAGCTTACATCCCATGTTGGAATAATCTGCGTACCACCTCCAGATTTGAACGTCGATACAACACGTTGCACCGCAGCAGGATGGGGAAGAAACTCTAAACATGGAGTATATCAGCCGATACTCAAAAAAGTTGATTTACCCATCGTTCCATTCCGTGAATGCGAGCGTATATTACAAAAAACTTTAGGGCCACTTTTTGAGCTGGATGATACGTTTATCTGTGCAGGTGGTGAGCCGGGAAAGGATACGTGTAAAGGAGATGGGGGCAGTCCTTTGATGTGCCCTATAACTGGCGAAACTAATAGGTATCAACAAGTTGGTGTAGTTTCTTGGGGAATCATTTGCGGACTCACACAAGCACCAGGGGCTTACGTTAATGTAATGTTGTATTCAGATTGGATCGATGGAGAGATGATTAAGATGAGTTTGAAACCAAACATTTATCGACATAACTACGATATTAAAACCCAATCGAAGTGAAATTATCGTGTTTACTTATGAAATTCTGCTTATAATTGGTAGGTTTAGTTACTTACATTCTGAGGAATATAATACTAGCGTTCTGATAAATTAAACGGCTTGGATGTATTCAGTTTTAATAATGTTAAACTGGAGTTTTGTCCCAACCGATGAGAAATTTTCTTTTAATGCTCGTAACACAAGGTTGTTAAGCGTTAAACGTAACCTAAGGTAAAGTTCTAAAGTTTCAGTTCAAAGCATTTTCCCGTCGAATATTAAAATTATCCTCAACCTCACTTCAAACGCGCAAAAACGTATGAAATATGCACGATTTGGTGCATATTTTTAAAATAATGATTAATAGAAATCTTCAAACTTCAATTATTAATAAATTTAAGATAACTGAAAAAACGAACTTTTAATTTTCAATTAGTCTTTTTTTTTAGTTTTCAATGTAATTTGGCAAAATCTAATTCTGCTGCTATTTAAAATGTCTTGCTTGTGAATGTTTAATAAATAGGACTACCATAAAATAACACAAATTATTAATAATATATTCATGTACCTACTATAAAATATTAACTTGTTATTTTCCAGTTCCGTTTATTTATTTTCTTTTGCTTTTATTAGTAAAAAAAAATAATTATAAAACATAGAAGTCACGTTATAAACCAACATTCAAAATACTTACGTGAATGCGTTACTCTTCTAAAGTAGTTACAGATACTTTTTAATTTTTCGCAAATGCATTGCCTTCTCTTAGGTCTTGAAAATGCAGAGAATAGACTGAAAATATAAATAATTATTAATTATCTGGCGGAAAAGCAAAAATTATTGTACGCTTTTCAATGATTGCCAATAAAATTAAACAATTAAAAAGCTGATACGCCCTTGATTTTTCTGTAAATAATAAATATTTTTCAAGATGCCATTCACTTTGGAAGAAAATAATCCTTCTGTCAGGCATATTATAAAAAATAATTTGGTACTACCCGCATGTAATATCAGTTTTAGATATTAGTAGTAGTAGTTCTGTGGAGGTCGGCCGGCGAGTAAGCCTTCAAGGCCCGTTTCACCATTCCCCCTCCATTCATCCCGCCTTACTACCCCTCCTCTTCACCACCCAGGCGTCCCGTCCCCTTGACGAAGCCGAGGATCCGTCTCCACTCCAGCGAAGACAGTTCCGTGCAGGAGAGGGCGGAGGCCCCAAGCAGGCGCCTCACGGACAACCAGTGGTGGCATACTCATAGCAGGTGATACGATATTTCCTCCGCCGTTGCACATTGTGGACAGACGGGGCTATCACCGATTCCAAGTAGGTGTAGCTGTCTGTTCAGACCGCAGTGACCTGTCATGACCCCAACCAGAGTCCTCAGCGCCCAGCGACTCCATGACATCAGCCATTTGGACGTTGCCTTGGCATCGCCCGGCATTCCAATCAACTCTTTGACTTGTTTACACCCTTCCGCCTTTCTCCACGACTCTGTGGTACTTTTAAAGCCCCAGTCGTTAAGTACGCTTGCTACCTGTCTGTTACTTAGCTCTATGTGAGTTTCGACAGTTATTGGGCTCTCAGAAGATCCGCGTCTGGCCAATGCGTCGGCATGCTCGAACCCCATGTGCGCCGGAATCCATACCAAGTTTACCTGTTTCGGTTCTGCCACTTTATTCAGGGCATTCCAGCACTCCTGGATCAGTCTACTGCCCATCCTAACGCCGAGAAGTGCATTTAGGGCCGCATGGTTGTCAGAGTAAATCTCAATCTCTCCTTCTAGTCCTCATATGACCTCCTTGCACAAGTAACCAAAGGCGTGGGATTACAGATAAACCAAAGTAAAATAAAAAGAAAACTTAGTCATACGTGGAACAATAAAATTGGAAAACAATATCACAGAAATTACACAATATCGATACCTTGGGCGCGAATTAAAAATCACTAGAAACGACCCTGATACCAGAGATACAAAGAATAATCGGTTTAGATTCGGTCACACGGCAAACATAGCGAAATCCCCATGAGCCTTAAGAGAAATGTATGTAATCAATATGTGATTCCAGTAGTAAATAACATACGGATGCGAAACACTAAAGCTCACTAAAAACAACATAAATAAGTTAAGGATATCACAGAGGAAAATGGAAAGATCAAAATTCGAAGAAGAACGGTGATAGAGGGCATCACCATTTGCAGGCCATGTGGCACGACTCAACGATGATAGATGGACCAAAAGATGATTAGAATGAAAATACCGACGCGATGGGCAGACGATATACGGCGAATAGACCACAACTGGATACAACTTGCGCAACATAAAAATTCTTGGCGACGTATGGATTAGGCTTATGTCCAGCAGTAGACAGGAGAAAAAGCTGGATGATGATGATTATATCTAAAACTGATGATACATGCAGGTAGTAATAATTTTTTTAAATATGTATGCCAGAAGAATTATTTTCTAGATCTTAAAAAATATTTATTATCCGCAGAAAAATCAATGGCATATCAGATTACTATTTGATTGATTACTTAATTCTTTATTTTGATGTGCGATCATGGAAAAGAGTACAATAAATCTAGATCATTTTTATTCATGAATTCTGAATCCCGAATTTTTGCCATCACCATTTTGATATGGGTATCGCTGTACAGACATTAAAACTACGCTAGTAGTGTGCTTTATAGATAAAAACTTCAATAAACATCTGAAATCTAGATAGATGTAGGTTACCAATATCTCTCTTAAAACGTGTGGCTTGATTTCACATGTAGTGTACTTTAAGCGATTTTTTGTATTTCAAGGACCCCATTTTAATATTATATGTAGACTGGTATGAAAGTTCCAATGAATAGTGAATACTTGGTACAACATTGTTTTACATACGTCTCAAACGTGATGACATTTCTTGAATGTGGAAAAAGACCGCTCACATTTAAAAAAATATGTATAAAAGAGCAGATTTGAAAATAAACTAGTTCCCATGATTTCTCTTCTCTTTCTAAAATTTTATTCATTTCGTTTTTGTAGTTGTCGCAATTGATCTGAAAATTGCTTCTGAAAAACCGGAAATTATTTATTCATTCAAACATTAAATTGAACTTGAAGTTCTTTTCAATTCCAAGAAACTTGACTCATTTAATGAGTTTATTTTAATTTTTGCAAGCCAGCAATCAAAAAGTATAACTAAAGTAGAAAACCTAATTTAAAATTCCACCTAGTTTCAGTTTCCTTCTGGCTGTAGTAGTTGATCTGCCAATAATACCGTGCAAAAGTACCGTCCAAAAGTCGAGTTGTTTACTGCGAAACAAACGAAAATTTTTTGGGATATTGGTTTTATTAGATCAGAAGAGATAATTATTAATACCGGCTGTCGCAAAAAGGATGGTCAGCGGTTGTCTTTTGGAACGTATTTGTTGAAGATTGTTCAGAAAAAACAATTTCATAACAAACTGGCAGAAGAAGAAGTTACTGGAAATTATTTTGAAATTTTTCAGATGGCGTAACTGCAAACGGTATTTTAAAGAGTGGATTTTATACATAAATTGTCCCGATAAGTGAAACATTTAGTAAGTTTAGTCAAAAGATCATAAAAACCGTACTACTTTCCTTAGAAGTTTTTTCATAACTTGTCAAATAAAGGGTGGGGGAAGAGTCAAACCGCTTAATGCACAGAAAGTTTAGTATCAATTGAAAGAGCAAACTCTATGATATGTGATATAAAAACAATTTTAATCATTTTCACATAAAAATTTAAGAAAAACAGCATCTAAAAATTTTTCAGTTTGGTTTATTTTTTCCTGTGCTTTCGAATGCGTGTAAAATAACTTGGTAGAATGTGAAATTTTTGTGGAAAATTAAAACAAATACATGTTTTTAAACAGCGGATCTTTCGAAAATTATTAGGATTGTTTTAATATCAAATATCGTAGTTTTAATTTCTCTTTCAATTGATAGTAAAAACTTTGAAATCGGTAAAGCCGTGTAGGAGTTACGGGTTCCTTTGAATTTTGCTGTGTGACTCTCCCCCCACCCTTTATTTGACAAGTTAGGAAAAAAGTTTATAAGGAAAGTAGTACGGGTTTTTATGATATTTTGACTAAACTTATTAGATGTTTCACTTATCAGGACAATTTCTGTATAAAATCGACTTTTTAAAAAACCGTTTGCAATTACGCCATCTAGTGGTCATCTGAAAAATTTCAAAATATATTCCAGCAAATTCTTTCCTTCAAGTTTGTTATCAAATTTTTTTTCCGAACACTACAACAAATACTTACCAAGATACAGCCGCTTACCATCCTTATTGCGACACCGGGTATATTACTGAAAAGTAAATGTAGAAAAAATTGAAAACTTATTGTGAAACTATGAGGAGTACTTTACTATAGGAAAGTAAATATAAGAAATGATTGTACAATACTTGTCCCAAAGGAAGATATAAAAATAGGCCTACCGTCGATGTATGCAAACATATAAATTAACTAACTGCACACAATGCTAACAACTCACCTCACAAAATTAACTCCTGGATAACTGGTAGCAATATTGCTTTTCCACGGAAAAGTGCACAAAAATGCATTGGCCAGAAGACACGCAATTTGTATTTGCGACAAGCTTAATGACCTATTGTGATTTTGTTTTAATAAAGGTACCCCATTTGGCAATAACACTGGTAACTTTAAAGCCAGGGTAACGATTTTCGGTAACAAATTTCTAAAGAAGTGGTCTGCATCTTCGTTGTCTAATTCCTTAAACATCAGTTTTTAGTTAGAGCATACAACAACAACATAAATAAAAATTTACTTCAGTAAAGAAATAATGTAAAGCTTCTAATCGAGGCAACTTTGAACTATACTTTCTCAAGGCAGCTTCAAACTCTTGACTTGTTGATATTGGAGCTGATAAAACTTCAGCAATTATTTTCCATCTCTCCTTAATAACTTCAGAGTTGTTCTAGAAATGGGGGGGAGCGATTAGATAATAGTCTCACGATTGAACAGGCCCACAATTTTTTGTTTACCTCTGTGACATTAAACAGATTCTTTTCAGAGAATGGCATTCGCACATAGTCTTCCTCCCACAGATGACTTTCTTTTGAAATGTGTGGTTTGGGGCAATCTTGCAATGTAACATCAATATGATATAGAACATGGTGATATTTTGAGGGTATCACAGGTGTGACTGCAAAAGACCAATGACCTTTCCCTTGGCAGATATCCTTTATACTGGTTCCTAACCATTTACTCGTTTCTCCATTGCAGTTGTCTGCATTAGTAACGTCGTCCATCATTTCAAGTCTTTTAAAGCACTGTTTTTATTGACTTAAATGTAGGTTTTATCAGTTGTGAATATCTATTTATTAAACAATTTATAGTTACTTGGACAGAATATTCTATATAAATCGACGGTATATCCCTGCAGATGTTCAACTACAACACAAAAACCGCATGTACTGTTGGGAGATTTAAATCAACCGAAATTAAAGTTAAACTTCCCAACTATGTGCAAACTCTGGGGTTTTAATTCTCGTTTCTAACCTATGGCAGTAAACAACAAACAGCTGACATGAATGACATCAACAGCAGGAGCTCGTTCATAAACGACACTCGAACTGGAAAATAATACGAAACCATTATTGGTTCGGATAATTTTGAATCGCAAAATAATAGCTGAATCAAAGGCCAAAAGTGCGCAAAAAAAAGTGTTATCTTTTTTATGAAGTAAGAAAACATTTCAAAATGTTTAATCGAAACGAACTTTACCATATAGTTTGAATTCTAACGACACACAAAGGTGAAGATTCTTTTAAATAATTAAATTGTAAAAAGTTACAAGAGCGAAACTTTGAATTTATTTGCTATATCTTCGGAGCATAATAAATAACGTGATCAAAGCGTCAATGTGTCAATAAATGTCTGAAGAAAAATGATACTGAATTGTTCGCCATTTACCTCCAGAGGTCACCCTCAGTAGTATCTAACACGGTCTATAGTAGTCTTGGCTATAACATACCCAATCAGAAAATTCTGGACACCCTGGATTCTCTTCAAAGCGTATAAATCTTTCGCCTTTTACTAAAGATTTCCGTGGAGAGGGTCAATATAAATGGGTCTTGAAGAATTTTTCTGTATGCCCTGTTCTTCGGAATGGGGCGCTTGAATGAATTAAATTGAAAGTGGTTTTAAATTTGTAGCGTGAAAGGTGAACGGTTCTCATCAGACAAGAAATAATGAGACGAGGTTCACATGTTAACATTGGAAACAGGCCCTCGCCGGGGGCTGGGTGAACTAACGGAGCAAGGGTTTCGCACGGGCGTTTCAAATGCATAGTTAATTTTATTTATTTATGAATTATAACTGCAAACTAGGTATTTATATAAATATGGGTATTATTATAAAAAAGTAACAATAGCATAACAACCAAAGCTAATTTATTAAATATGAAATAAACATACATATAAAAGCGAATTAAATATATGAAATTTCAACAAAAACAACACTCTAAACAAACAAAAAAATGTATTCTTGCAAATTCGAAATTAGTAAATTAATTTCAAATCGTTCAATCGTTTTCAAAAGGTATCTGCAAAAATTATATTAGTAAATTATGAAATATAAACAGGATTTTTTTTGCTGTTTGCCCAACGACCGGAGGGAAAAATCTTCACGAAGACACTCAAAGTCCTGGAGAACTAGGTAGTGCTGGATTCTTACCAACTAAAAACCCCCGTTTTTGAACTGGCTCTCCCTAAAAATGCGTCAGCTCCGGCACCCGGGTGCCATAGCGTCACATTCAAAGAATAACATTACAAAAACTGTATGTAGAATTAAAGTAATACATAAACTATTAAAGAGTACAATTGAAAAATAATTAAAACAGTATTAATTAATAAGCAGAAAAAATATGTTTCAACAAAAACTTTTTAAACAATCATTACATATAAAATGTTTTTTAAAGCCCTAACTTTCTTCTTTTATTTTCATTTTTCTTTTTCTGCTTTTCAACCTGAATGCTATGTTTATTATCTTGGACAAACTTTTTAACCAAAATAAACCAAATATTATTTAACAATTTGTTTTTAAGGTCTTCGTTGTGTAATTGGCAAGAAAACCAACTAAAATCACACTCTTTACTTAAATACATTATAATGTTTTGCTTTCAATCACTAGCCTTTATGTTTAAATTTAGAATATAAAAAAACTTATCATAAATGTCACTAACGTAATTGACTAGCTGTTTAGTTACATAATTCAGTCTTTTAATATTATCGTACTMCTTAAAAGTAACAAATGAATGATGTTGTTCTAATTCCTCTGTAAAAAGACAACCGTAGCAAATATCGCATTGTTTTGTGTGTTCCAAATTGGTTTCTTTCTGCTGACATTTATAAACTGCGATTTTATAAAATTTATCCCTGAGTCATCTAAGTTTTTTTCAAAATGTTTAAATATCTCTGAATTGTTGATGTTGTAAAGGTCTTGAATTTGATTTTGTGACATCTGTAATTTTTTTTTAATTTACAAATATATGCTTTTTGTTGTCGGTAGGCAGAGTATAATTTTTTTTTTTTCAGTTGTAAATGTTGACCTTTTAACTCTCAATTTTTGGGGCTTTGCTGTTGTACATTTTGTGGATTTCGGCTCTGGAATGGATTGTAATTCATTATGTTCTAGTGATTGCGGGCGAAAGGGTGAAGTTTAATTTGAGATAACGTAAGTCTCTTTTTGAAAGATTGTGGGAACGGCGCCTTTAATTAGTCTGTTATGAAACGTGCTTGTAAAATCTGATTCAATGAAATGATCTTCACACAAATAATGTCTGGTAGTTGAATATTGAATCGAATTAATGAGGTGTTTGTTTAAACTACTAAACCACATTTGACGACATGTTTCATCTTTTGGGAACTTGAAAAAATCCTTATCGCCATGTACAAAATATTTGCTATTGCACAAGGGATAGCGACAAGTATAATTTGCTATAGTTGTCATTTTGGGATGAAGTAATTATGAATTAATGATTAAATGAATATTTACCGGACCAATTCGAATACCTATTAATTTAGAAACAATAAATTATTTATATTTATATACAAAGAACGTACATACAAACCTATTAACTTACTCGTTATGCGCCAGCCTCGTGGTAATTACTAGTCTGGTATAAACGGTGGTATGCTGCCGGTAAAAAAATGAATTCAATGTAACTAGATAATTATTATATTACACACATTTCAACTTACTTGTTTTTAGAATTTCTATGATCACAGACACGAAATGGAAATAAACAAATTATCATTTAGACCACTACCGCCAAATGAGAGATTTATGACTAATGAAGTTTTGGTTTTGTGCAGAACTACCAACAGTGGTACAAGGGCCTAGGACCTAGTGAGACATGGCTGCCA